TTACATCATATCATAATGCAGATACTATCTACTACAGTATCTGCATTATGATATGATGTAAGCCATCTTTAATTATCCTGTGCTACAGTATAGTCTCTGATGGTATAGCAGCTTTCCTTGAAAAGGGAAGCAGGGTGCAAGCGGGGTGCAAAGGAAGGCCTTATCTCGGCGTGAGACGAAGAAGAGATGTCGGGCACCTGAGTCCAAGCCGTCCCCTTCTCTGACATTCTAGGGTTTAGGGTTTAGGGCTGAGATTTCTGATTTGGGGGTTAGGGTGGTCAGGTGACCGTAACGGGGCCTTTCCACATCATTCATTTCCTAGGACCTCTTCAGCAGAACAGAAACGAAGAGCGACATCCCTTCCAAAACAAGCTCGAACGACCGGTGCGCCCAGAAACCCCTCAGCGGCCCTTTCTTCATCTTCTACTGGACCCAGTTGTTGGGAAGGTAAAGGACAAGAAAAGCATCAGGAGGATCCTTCAGGCACCCGAGAACGAGTCCCCCACCCCACTCAAGGAGGATCAGTGCCGCAATCAGGCCCAATCCGCCCACGGCCCCGGTGATCAAGTAGGACCTCGGTGTGTCGAAGCCGGGAAGCGCTTCGAAACGACTGAGTATCGGCGCTGTCTTTACATGCTGCTTTGTTTGAGCTTCTGGGGCAGTTAAACGTCCAAAGGAGCGTTAAACGAGACGGCTCTATCCTCTGGGAGAGGGGAAGCAGGACTTGGTGTCGGAAGAAGAGGTCTTATGCAGCAACCCGCAATCCAGTTCCCAGAATCGAGCGCAGCGCTGCTTGACGCGAAGCCCTTGATTCCGATCCGATGCACTTTTTGCTCCAAACCCATTGACATTCACTAGACCCACTTGGCTAAGCCAAGAATCCGATCTTCGAACACGAAATCCACACCCTCAAACCAAGTCCTGATCCCAAACCCTACTGCACCCAGAACCCAAAACCTTGTCACCTAAAGCACATCCTATACCGTAATTTTTAATCCTAACAACTCCTACGCGCTCAGCCTCTCAGCTCTTTTCTGAGGCTCTGACGCATTCGGATCTGCTCGAAGAAGGGGTTCTGGGCTGAGATATGTCGGCTTGACCTTGGCTGGTTTGTCTACGGGAAGGGCCTTAAGAATTAGAATAGGGTTTTGGGGGTATGTAGGATTGTAGGCACAGAGGCATCTATTTTTGGGGCCAGGGCGCTTCGGGTGGTGAGGAGTGGGGTTTTGTGGAATGGGATGAGGCATTGGGGTCCAGAGACGCGAATGCGAGGATGAGTGAATCTGAGGCTTGTCGGGTTTGCGGTTATGAAGATTCTTGGAGCTTTCTGGCCTCAGCAAGCAAAGCGGCTTTTGGGAGTGACCTTTGCTGCTCCATCGTTTCCAAGGTCCAATGGAATGGGTTCAAGCAGGGGGCTCATGAGAGGATTTCGCCCTGCGGAGATGGATAATGTTAGATAGTCAGAGCATGTGTGTGTGTGTATATATATATATATACACACGCTTTTTCGCTAAAAGCGAAAAGCGAAAGAACTGTATATAACTTTAAATAACTGTATAAAATTGTAGATAACTATATTGTTATATATAACTCTATATACATATACACCTTCATCGAGCTATAAGTAACTAAACAATTCTAGCAATACTAGTAATAACAATAATCGTAATAATAACAATAACAACATCTCTGTATATGTACATGTATATGTATTATAAAAGATATTCTATGTAAGTATATACAGAACTATATATATATATATATAACTATGATCGCTTGCTCTCTCTCTCTCTCTGTGTCTCTCTATGTATATGTATATGTATATGATATGATAAAGTTCTAAGTCTACCTAGATTGTGCTAGTGGCTGCTAGTGTGTATGCCCCATTTTTTCATTAACTCTGAGAAGCCACTGGGTAGCTCAAACCCTAAGAAGAGACCTGGACTCCTGACGAAGGCCCCGGCTAAGGTTCCGCACTGCGCCACAAGGATGGCTTGCTGGCTGAAGATGTGGCCCTGCTCTTGCTACGCTCGTCGCCCGCAAAACGCCCAGACTCTCACTCAAATTCGGTGGAACTCCCCCCCAACCACCGCTGGATCCCGTTCCCTCAATTTGCAGCAGCACATTGATTGTCTAACGTCTGTTCAGCGGCCATTGGTATAAGCTTGCCTCGTCAGGCGTGGTCCAGACGTTCTTGAAGCCACACTGGGTGAAGAGGGTCTGCCACTCGGCTACCCGAAGCAGCGGATATGTCACCCGCCTCAGGCCGCCACTGACAGGTCAATGTCGATGCCTTCTTCTTGGAACACTAAAGCGCATATCTGCTGGAAAACGGGGCAGCACCCTGGCGCCCAAAACCCGAATCGCACTGAACCTTGCAAGCATGACTCCTGCAAAGCTCCAAGCTTCCTGAGCCCCGAAAGTCCCAGGTCAGGCAGAAAATCACCGAGGTGAAACGATGGCCTTTCGGTGTCCGTCAGCATCCACCAACCATCCGTCAGGCCGTAGGTGAGATCCTGCCATAGTCTGCATGTTTCTGACTCTGACATGACACAGTGGACCCAGGGCTCTACTGCCAATCTGGAGAGAGCTACCTACCTGGCAGACTTGCGTCACGATGTTGCGACCGGCAATCCGGTCCGAAACGGTAGTCCCGCCCCCACGTCGCTATGGCAGGTGAGTCGTTAGTTCTGGACACCTCCGACCAATATCCCCGCAGTCCTCAATGAGCGTTCCTGGATTCTGCACCTGGCAACTTCACGTTCGAAGCGAATCGTTTTTGATTCCCGCTTCTAGCAAGCCCGCCTTATGATTCATCATTCATCCCCAGCATCAAGGATGAAAGTAGCGGACTAAACCGTCGACTGGCTGACCCCAGAAAGCTTCAACAATCAGTCTTCCTCAACAACCCGGGACTTCTGCAGCGAATCCTATCTCCTACAAGGCACCTCGTTGAACACGATGTGTCCACCCGGCCGCAGCAGCACATGGATCGTTGCCATGGTAGAGGCTAAGTGCATGGTGGCGTGGATCACCTGGTTCCGTCGTGCTCACGATCCCTCATGAAACCAGAAGCCTTAGACCCCATCAACGCATACCACCCAAACTCTTAACCAAGGCTTGCCATCGGGGAGCACCCAGGTCTAGCTCGCTGTGCTGCACTCAAACAAGCAAGACAGCATGATCACGATCCAGGATCAGTCAAACCCTACAGCCCAAAGGGTGCTAGGATTTAAGGTTTAGGGTTTAGGGTTTAGGGTCCTTTAAGGCCCCACAACCAAACTGCTGTGGGACGCTGTCTTAGCAGGCTCCAGCTGCACATCCTCTTCCGAGGCGCATTCGTGGCCAAGATCGCGCTGATCTCGTGGCTGTTGAAGCCCTGGCCCAGCTCTGATGTTTTTGGGTTTAGGGTTTAGGGTTTAGGGTTTCGGGTTTGGGGTTTAGGATTTCGGGTTTAGGCTTTCGGGTTTAGGGCTTCGGGTTTGGGGTTTAGGGTTTCGGGTTTAGGGTTTAGGGAAACAACAACCCGGAAAAGGTACAACCCGAAACGCTCTAGAGGCCCTAAACCCTGAGACTCAATGACAGCACCCATGGAAACAATGATGATGGAGAGATCGTGGGCCGGATTTCAGCTCCCGCAACAAACATCCTCCACAAGAATGCTTGCTCGCCCAAAAGCGAAACCCGAAAAAGCCGCCTAAACCCTTCACTCCAAAGCAACTTCCCACCGAGAAATTCCAGGGGGGGCGGACGAAACGAATGCTTCCGGAAAGCTTGGACTGCCTGATCACCAGGATGCTTGTCGCCGTTGAAGATGGAGTACTCTATGAAGGAGAACCTGCAAACGAAATTGCAGAATTCGGGTCCCTGATCTCGAACCCCGAGCAGCAGCAGGACCCCTGACTAATACTAAGGAGCCTCGAAGCAGATACCAAGATTACATCTCTGCTCACAAGAGAAGAATCGACTCATGCCCTCCGTAAGTGTCAGCCCGAAAGACGAAGCCCTGCTCCCTAGAAGTCTTGTTGAAGCGATTATGTAGAAAGCTCCAAGAAATTGAATCTCGGTTTCTCTTTTCTTTCTGCTGGGCTTTGGGGGTCTCGGGTTCTCTCTCTCTCTCTCTCTCTCTCGCTCGCTCGCTCGCACGCTCGAACGACTTTCCCACCAGCCTCGAAAATCGTGCTCGAGCGTTGGTCAGGAATGCTTGCGACAGGTCGCTGAAAACATACCTAGCAAAGCGAGCTGCCATCAGGACTCCAATGCAGAGGCGTTGTTCCATGGACTCGCTGACTGAGAGCTCTGCCTGGAACTGTGCGGATTTAGCACCGGCAGCACGAAGGAAGAGGTGCCGCCGGTTCCGGAACCTGTATCGAGGCCACAGGGAAGATTAACGCTTCAATTGATGCTTTGACGCTTCTTCTTCCCTGCCGGTTCAAAGCCGAGAGAATGCTCTGGCATCAGCGTGTGCTTTTGACAACTCCGGGCACGGTGGGAGTGCCCTTTGGAGCTGTCGCTTACGGCCTTCAGGGTGACCTGCTGAAAACTCCCTGGATCTCTGGAAAATAAGGGTTTAGGGTTGGAATGCGACTCGCCCATAAGAGGCTTGCTCGATTCGGCATCGATGCTGCATCCGTGAGTCTTGAACTACGACCGGCTGCCGGCCTATCTCGAAGACGTACAGGCCCTTTTCGGACGACATCACAGGATTCTTCATGTCCTGCAAGATCTTGAAAACCTGCCAGAATCCCGTCGGGTTCGGGGGTCGACGGGTTCAGATAAGGTTCGGACATTGGTTCAGACAGGCTTCGGACAGGGTTCCGGCTCGCTTGGCTTACATGTTTCCAGCTGAATCCCCAAACCTTCGAATCGGCAGAATCTTTGCTCCAACTGCATTGAGACTCTGCGAGCCTCCACACAGAAACACCCACAATCAACAACATCTAGGGCCTAGGGCCCCCAAACAAGCACAGAAGCAAACATTAGGATAGGGATATCCCATACAAACCCCCTTATCATGAAGCCCAATAAGTTAGGCATATCCCTGTAACATGCTTATGCTTATATCCTTTCTGGGTCCCTAAACATCAGCGACTCCTGTCACGGGCGGCTGCCTCCACGCAAACCTCGTTGCACAATCTGGCCTGGCGGTGAAGCTCTTCGATATGGAAAGCGATGACAATTGCTAAGTGGCTATCTATGTATGTATTTCTATGCATACACATATATACGTTGAGTATTTTAACTATGTATGCATGTATGTACGTACGTACGTACGTATGCATGTATGTATGTATGTATGTATGTATGTATGTATGCATGTATGTATGTATGTATGTATGTATGTATGTATGTATGTATGTATGTACATGTATGTACATGTATATACATGTATATACATGTATATACATGTATATACATGTGTATATATATATATATATATGTAGATATGTACCTTTACATATCTATTGCTCTTGTGGCTTTCAGTTCAGGTGCGGGGGCAGCTAGGCCTTGGTCTTGCAGAATCATGCACGAAGTCCCCTTTGCCATGGGTGCCCCGAAACACAGACGTCGCTGCTGTTGGAAGTTCGGAAACCAGGAGTTCAGGCCAGAAATGAACTTGCGTGCACCCAATCGTTACCCTGCCACTGTTCCCCCTGCACAACCCAACATCTGCCACTTTCGTGTCATATGAAACTGGCTCAAATAAGCACGATCTGCATGATGCAAACGACATGGCTTTTGCTTCTCGCCGAATGAAGCTGAAAAACTTGCTCGCCCCAACTCCAACCTAGACTTCAAGACGACAGGCCTCTCTATTCCTCCCCGTCGACATGCCTAGGCCTTATCAACTCTCAACCAAGCCCTGAACCAGAAGACCCTTTTAGCATCATGGCCTGCGGATCATCCTCGTAACCTTCAGTGGCCGCCCCAAAGGAAAGGCCCCCATCGCCGCTCATGGCGCCCGGACTTCGAAGACGTCCAGTTTGTTAAGGTCTCTTTGCGGCTATTCCAGCCCCTCTTCGGGCTCAGGGTCACAAGCTTAGGGTTTTGGAGGGTTGGCTGGTGCTTGTGTACGCGGGTGCATCTGTCTTCCGCGATGAGGCGGATGATCACGAACTTGGAGCTCGGGCCATGTTGTCTCTTGTTAACCTCCCAACCCAACACTAGGGGCTTGAGCTAGTGCTCCTTTCAAGATCAGGTAAGTAGTAGACTGAATCAATGTGTGGATCGGAGCAGTAAACCTGCTGACAGTGCCTCTGCATGCTTCATAACAACGAAGTCACTTCTCTTGCTCTGAGCAGGATTCCATGCCGGTGACAGGCCTCGAAACCTTCGACCCCACTCCAAATAGTCAGCATAGACTGCTGTGGATGCACTGCTATTGCTGTTGATGCTGTTGCTGCTGCTCCGCTGCTGCTGGGCAGCTCGCTACACAACAAGAAGTTGTCCGAAAATAGCGCCAATCCTCAGAGCAAAGAACGGGCTGTTGTGCCAAGTGCCCGACAGGTTTGGACCGGTGTGGAAGAATGGCAATGTGCAGTCTTGACCATTGCATTCCAGACCTACTACTACCACAACCACCACTACTACTAGGGGTACGTATCTTACTTGACGATATGTTTCTTTTGCGATTCACTACTTTTACACTGCATTTTGCCCGGCGCTTGGCCTCTGCAGCAAACTTGCGGGATCGGGCTCTGCAGCAAAGTTGGGGGGAGCATTTCCTATGAGTGCCTTGCCTATCCCATGAAGGCCTTGCCTTTCCCATGCACTATTCATTAACTTTCTACTTACTACTTGGTCCGTACTACTTGCGACTGACTACTTACGATTACTAGTCACTACTTGCTACTCACTATTTACCCTTTTCTACTTCCTGACTTACTTACTTGCTTGCTTGCTTACTCACTTACTTAGCTTCCTTTCTAACTAACTAACTCCCTGACTAACTAACTAACTAACTAACTAACTAACTTACTTACTTACTTACCTGTTACTTACTGACGTACTGACTTGCCTGCTTGCTTGCTTGCTTGCTTGCTTGCTTGCGTGCGTGCTTGCTTGCTTGCTTGCTTGCTTGCTTGCTTGCTTGATCGCTTGCTTGGTTGCTTTGCGTTGTGAGGTTGCTTGGTTGCTTGGTTGCTTGGTTGCTTTGCACGCTCGCTCGCTCGCTTGCGTGTACGTTTGTTCGTTTGTATGTTTGTTTGTCTGTCTCTCTGTTTGTTTGCTTGCTCGACCGTTTGATTAGTTTTTTTGCCAATGAGTTTTTGTAGCTTGCTTGTGTACATGCTTGCTTGGGCTTTCGCTTGCGTGAATGTTTGTGTGCTTGATCGTGCGTTTGCTGGTTGCAGCGATACATACCTTCATACATACATACATGCATACATACATACATACATACATACATACATACACATATGCATATGTTTATATAATTATATATTGTGTGTGCGTGCGTGTGTGTGTGTGCTTTTCTTTGTGTGCTGCTGTGTGCTTGAGCTTGTCGTTGTGTTCGTGCAGTCCGTGTGTTCGGTTTTTGCTGCTGATGGTTGCTACTGCAGTTTTCGAGAGTGGGAGTGAGAGTGACAGAGTGAGTGAGTCAGTGTGTCTCCACGCGTTTGTACGTCTCTCTGTCTGTCTGTCGGACTTTCTTTCTCAGGGCCTCGGGGGGCGAGCCCATGTGTCTGTGCTTGCGTCTGTGCTCGTGCGCTTACATCTGCGTGCGTGTGTAGCTAGAAAGTCGGGCCATGGAAGAGGTGTCAATAGTAGCCCACCAGCTGTGTAGAATGTAGAAAGAACAATGCTTCGCGTATGTCTTGACCTTTGCACAGGTAGGGGCACAGCGCAGCAAGTCCCTGAATGCTGCCGCGAGCATGGCTGAGCAATTGGCTCCGAGTAGGCCTTGACTCTTCTCAGGGCTCCTCGTCATCAGGCAAGACATGGTTTAAGTAGTCCCTCGCATAGTCGACATCCCGTTGGTTCAGGAGGGTATGCACATAATCAAGAGAACCAAGGACTGCCATGTCGACATCCTTGCGTGAGCCTGGCTTGAAGACTGGCCAGCCAGCCTTGCCTTCCTCGCTCTTCCACAGTCTCTCCCAGTGCTCGCGCACATGCAGCTTTCCCAAGGAAACAATAATGCTGCGCTGGCCATCATGGACATCAATCATCCAATCGCAGTCCTCGAGCTCGACAGCGCCCCACAGCTCTCCATCCAGAACTACTTCTTCAGCACATCTCAGTCGGAGACGACCCTTGGCCAGCTGGAAATCAACGTCGGAGGCCCTAAGCTCGTCACGAAGGGGAACATAGATTCGGATCTCCTCGTTGTAACGTCCAGCAGGTTCCCACTTGTAACAAGGGCGCAGGATTTCCTCCCAAGTCTCGACCCTTTTCTTCGCGAGGTACAACACCAACTCTTTGACATCCTTTCGAGCTACTTCTGCCTGCCGAGTCTCCAACTCGAAATAGGTGTCCTCCACATCTGCACAGCTCCACAAATCGCCTTCAATCATTGGCGGTTCGCCACGCAGACCGATTCGAAGGTACGTTTCCGTTAACTCCAGTTCGACGTCTTTGGCTAACGTGTTTCTGCCCACCGGCATGAAGATTCGCAGCTCCTGATCGGTGGCGTCTCCCTGCTCCCATCGGAAACTGGCTTGTAGCTTGGGCCGTCCACGACGCCGCACACAAATCAACGAAGCCGCTGAGGCCGCCGATGCCCCTGAGACCGTCAATGGTGATGAGGGTGGAGCCTTCAGTATGGATCGTGGCGGCAGTGGTCTTAGAGGTGCGCTTGACAAGCGTTGTGGCCATTGCTTCACCGGACTCCGAGTTTCAAGAGCCATGATGACAGTCGCAGACAGACCACACATGTCGACTTCGCCTGATCTGATGAATGTGAGCTGGCTGAAACAGCAGGTGCTAAACTCGCCATGAAAGGGGGCCAGAGGAGCATGGAGGGAGTCTTTAAATCAGTTTAGCAGGACACAACTTGCTAGTACACACAAGACAGCGGCAAACGAGGGGAGTGGGGCTCGGGCAGAAATGCTGATTCAGAGCGGATCTCAGTAAGTCTCTGCAGCCGGCCTGCATCACACAGTCACAATATCACAAGCGTTTAGGCCAGGGTGCATCGAGGTGGCTTGGTTTTCCGGAGGCCCGGCATGTGTTTCCGATGTCCTGCAGGTCAGATTCTCTTCGGCACCGAAAACGTTGCATGTGCACACGCGCATCTCCCGAAAGAGGTCACGAGGCATGCCTCGTAGATGCTTTCGGCACATAAGGCAAGTCTTCTGGTGTCAGTGCGACAGACTGATGTCCAAACTTGGGGTCCTGAGGGCAATGCATCTCCGCCTGGGAAAGGGCCAAAGAAGTGGCGACATTGCATGCCGACGTGACAGCGGAACTCGAGTTTGGGGGAGCACAGGCCCCCAGGAAGTGCCTGGCCTTGTGTCTACCCTGCGTGGCAACAGCTTCCAACGACACCTGACAACGGCAGAAGGCACAAGTGCGAAGTACATGCTGAAGCATGCCTGAGGCAGAGCATGCCACAGCGGCATCCGGCTCTGTGTATCTCCGAGCAAAGGATCCGGCTACATCGCTGACACCCAATGTTCCCGGCGATCGAACCTCAGCTCATGGAGATGAGAAAGGTACTGGAACCGCGCGGATGGGGCCATGTTAGACGCACGCAAATGAAATTGGACATAGAAGCTCTACGCGTCCAGAAGGGCAAAATCAGCAGCTTCTGTGAGATTCCCCGCATCATCCCACTACGAAACGCGACCGTTGCATGCTATGGTCGCTGCAGTGTTGGTCGGTGCTTGCGGCTCGGGCTGCGAAATGCGCTTCAGCCTTGCATCAACTTGAATGCTTCGATCAGATGGAAAACCTTCATGCAAGCCCTTTCATGACGAAAGCTCAAACTCCAGTTCGCTCGAGAGAGCAACTACTGGCAATGGGAGTAGAACTTTTTGAGGATGCACGCAGGTCATCACTTGCGACTTAAAAGGCATGGTGACACATGGCTCACTGTGATGCTGCAACCCGCTGCTGAGCTCGAGTGCGTCTCTGCTGAAACCGCTTCCGCTGAAGGCCTCTGCGGGGGTAGCAATGACTAGCCAGCATGTCAGCACGGCATCACTTCCGCCACTGCTGTTGGATATCATGGGTTGCAGCAGGTCAACCCCGGCCCCGAAAAGACATTTCGGCATATTCGGAAGAAGCATGCCTCCTCATGGCACCAAGTGTGGTGAACCCCTGAGCTGCATTCGCCAAGTTCTGCACGCTGGAACCTGCCAAAGACGAAGTCGGTCGAAGTCGGCAGGACCCGTGAGTTTGGGCTAGTTGCATGCGTTCGGCTGGCAGCATTGAACCTGCCAACGACTTACTTAGAAACCATCCGCGCTACCCGGCCTAAAGCTTTCTGGATTCCTTCGGCTGCAGTCGCGTCCGTTGACATTTTGCCCAAGGTCTGGGGCGTCGCCGTAGCCCATGCCAGATTTGACAACTGCAGATCAGAACAATCACATTCAAACAAAAACACACACACACAATCACACGCTCACTCCAGCTAAACATATCATGCCTCCTGCGGCAAGCACTGCTGGATCTTCGGCAGCGCATGCCCAGTAACAGATGCTAGCAGCTGCGACCTCATCAGGGGCATAACAGACTGCTGCAGCCGTAAACCTTAAGCGGTGAGGTTCTGGCTCCATCGTCTTTAATCGACCAGGCGATCGGGCTGCATTGGCCAAATCCCGCGCTCGGTGCTGGTACACCTGCAGACATCGTGATGACACAAAAGAGTTGGGGAGTGCCTCTGCCAATTTTGGCTTCCAATTGAAAGTTGTCGAGCGTCTTGCACATCAGTCGGAGACCCCACGTTCAGCAACAAGGGATCCCGGATCTGATCGATGCGACTAAGCCCGGCCTTGAGGCACACTGCGTCTTGAACCGCTTTCTGCAGCGCCCCGCGGTAATACATCAGGCCTCAGCTGCTCATGCTCTGTGAAGCTGACAGCTTGTCAGCTTCATATCGTCCCCACAGTGCACTGACTTCAGGATACCTCAGCTCCTTACGTGCGACTGCCCAGCAGCTGTTCACCAGCTCCTGTCCAGCATCCCGAAATTCGACAACTACTGAGGCGCCCTGCGAAATGCTACGAAACCTATCTTCAAGTGCACCTGGACCGGGAATGTAGGCAGTGTCGCTGCGCCACGCCCCGCCAGCGCATCGAGCAAGAGGTTGCTGACATGGGCCAGCGAGGCCAAGGCCCTCAGAGGCAAATGGGAGGGCTGGCAAACAGCACAGAGAAAAAACTAGCTCAATGACCACAAGCCTCTTGCTCTATCGGTAGACGGCTACATTGAAAATGACGGAAAATACGATCAATATTTTGAAGCTTCAAGCTCGCAATGCCTGCCCGTTTGCATCAGCGATGCAGGACGACTTTTGGACCAGGTGTTTTTCCACGACGGGGTTGTGCCGAAATCGGAAAATCGCCCAAGCAGTAGTCGTCACTTCAAACATCGGCACAAGCAGCAGTAGCAAAAGCAGGAGGAGCAGGACTTGGAGTAGGAGCATTGCAGCAGCAGAAGCTGGTGGTAGTACTGGAAGTCGTTGTAGAAGTAGAAGTAGAAGAAGTAGAAAAAGTAGAAGAGGTAGAAGTAGAAGTAGAAGCAGAAGCAGAAGTAGAAGCAGTAGTAGTCGTCGTAGTAATAGTAATAGTAGCAGCAGCAGCAGCAGCAGCCGCAGCCGTCGTCGTCGTCGTCGTCGTCGTCGTCGTCGTAGTCGTAGTCGTAGTCGTAGTCGTAGTTGTAGTCGTCGAAATCATAGTAGTAGTAGTAGTAGTCGTCGTCGTCGTCGTGGTGGTGGTGGTACTAGTGATGGCAGCAGCAGCAGCAGCAGCAATAGCGACAGCATGCGACAGCTTTGTTCTTGCTGTACTCCTAGGCGACTTTGCTCTGATAAGAACCCTACTGGTGTCGCCAATCCAGAAGACTGCTGCAGAAATCGCTCTTTTTCCCGAACCCCATCCGATCCGGCGCACCAGAAGGTGTTGGACGTGTTCTGGTGGTTGAACTAGTCAATGACATCAATCGCCTTGGACGCAGCCTGGGTCTGCTTACAGGCGCACCGCAGCAAGGCGAGCAGCTACATCAGGCAGAGTTGCCTGTCTGGCTACGCTGACTCTGCAAGCTCGAAGCATGTATTGACAAACATGGCTCTTGCAGCTAAGTCTAGCAGTCTAGCAGAAGCACCGGTGGCAAACTTCATGATTCAGTTCATGATTGATGAGGCATCAGCCGCAGCCAGCAACATCGCATTCTTCACCTGGAAATTTCCGATGCAGAGAATGAACCGGCTCGAAGTGCCGTGAATTCCCACATGCCACAACCACTTCTCATGCTCAGGGCTCTGCCGCGGAATTTGTTGACGACTAGGTCATGTTCGCCAGGGCCTGCGTTATCTTGGGCATGTGACTCGTAGAGGACGGGTGGCACAAAGGACTCCTTCCACCGTGCACGAACAGAGGCCTGCGGAAAGAGCTCGGACATCTTTGCCAGTGCCAGATCCAAGGTTGCAGTTGCCGAGGCCACACCTCGCCCAGTCCAGTTACTAGATACTGACTGCTTCTGAAAGTCAAAGTCGCAGTAGCTCGAGATACTTGGTGCCCCGGGGCCATAAGCACCAGACCATGCCGCTGTAGCTTGGCGAAGCCCCATGCCTCGACCAGAAGACAAATAAGAAAACGGCTCGCTACTCGCTGGCCGTCGATCTCCACTCGAGCTCTTTCTCTATTGAAATCTCACAACTTGGTAGGATTCTGGCTGTGTTTGCAAGGTTCTGCTCTGAGAAGGTGTCCAGGATCTTCTGTGCCTCAACGTCCCGCCACGAGACCCGCACTGAATCGCAAAACTAGGTGGCCGAGCCTCACCCCCTGCGACTTGCAGCAACGGCCCGGGCCTTGCAGTTTGGCAGAGATTCTTGAAGCTTGCGTTTCACATTTCATGCTGTGCTCAGCCACACACCGGTGAAGAGTGGTTGCACAAGACCAGACGAGATTGGAAGGGCCTTGCGCGTTGAGACCTCGAGCACTCTTGAAATTAGCAAAGACTTGCGCTGGCTCGTGTTACGAAAGCGACAGGCAGGCTGTTGCATGCATGTTGTGGTTCTTAAAGAGGCTGCGCGACTTGATGTGGCTTGAAACAACTCCGGCAACGGCTGGTATCCGCCATCGCCCGACTGGTTTGCTGCATCCGGTGACGAATTCGATGTCTGTTACCCGAGGCGGTGGCTCTTGCTGGTAACCTGCAAACTAGAGGGATGCTGTGCACAACATCGGAGCAGGACAAGGGCAAACACACGCTGTGCTATCAAAGGACACTACAGTAGCAACTCTTCGTTCCTCAGAATGAGTCAACTACATTATCAGTAAAGATGCCCTGCTTCATTTCGAGGTCCGTGGTCGCGAGTCATGAGCTCTAATAGTGCCACGAGTGTTTTCCCAATGTATCGGTCAGGCCATTCTCGGCCGAACGCCTCCAGTGATCGATCGTTTCTCTGGGCACGGCTGACTTTGTGTGTTGGAGGTCGTCGGGTACCGTTGACGTTATCCACCCTTCCGGAGCCGTCGTCCCAACAGCTTGAAGCATGTTCGTCAGAGGAACTCAGGCCCTGCTCCTGTAGCATTCCCCTCGTCCGGACTAACGAGCTCTCACACTTGGTGACTTCGTGCTTGACCTCAGACTTGCTACGTTTGGTCAAGAACTTGTCAACCGGCCTCTGACTCCCACAGCGCCTCAATGGGTTTCGTGTTTTTGGCCTCGGGCGATGTTGCCGCAAAAGCTTTTCTTCATGTTAGCTACAGCAGCTCTCAAGCCGCAAGCCCAGCTGAGCATCTGACCGACATCTTGGCAAAGCCCCGGACTAGATTCGAAGTCTCCTGCCTAGGTCTGCTTCAGGCAGCTGGAGCTTGCAATCCAGTCAAGAGCTACATCTTCGTCTTTTCATTGTTGTCCCTTCCGTGGCAGTGTGAATAAATTCTCCCGGCCGTATTGGCCATGGTCCTGCACGACTGGAGGTGCGCTCAGTCTGTCTGAACTGTCAAAGCTCGGATTCCGAGGGCACCATCATTAAGACGACATGCCCCAGATGTTTTCCTGCACATAAACTCTGCAAAAGAGGATGAATGCAGGACATGCGCAAAACGAAGATCACCACTACATCACAAGCCACAGACTGAGGATTCTGCTATTCACTATGGGGGATAGTGAACAAAGCTCGGTCGGCAGCTGCACCTTCCAGGCTTCTCGAAAGCAAAACGGCATCCTCAACAGCACAACCACACATCGAAATAATGCCCCGGGATTCCCACTTGCCAATGGCTCGCTGATGTTCCTCGGCTCGGCGCAGTCCAAGGTGTTGCCACGAAGCTGTCACGTGATGGCTGGACCCCTTGCAGACTGCTCAACTGCCATCGGTACTGACACTCCGAGCAATCTCTGTTCAGTGAACTTCCAGCATCTTGATTCGGCTGTGCATCCTCGTTTTAGCCATTCACTGCGCGATGTTGCCCGAGTGCTGTGGAAGGAATTCTGCTACCTGAGCCGGCTTCCATCGAGATGCAGCAGGCGAGGGGAACATCTCACCCACAGCGAAGACAGAGAAGGACGGAAAACCCAAGAGCAGCACTATCTGGACTGATCGGCCGGCTGCTGCCTCGAGCACGGATTCCTCTCTCCACCTCAGACGTCTTCATCCGCTCCCCTAAAAAATTTTTGACTGGTGTCGATGCGGTGTATCATACAGTACGCTACAGTACGAAGGTCTCTTTCAGGCTTGATGGAACCCAGCGTGCATCGAACTCTCCCTTTAGCTGCAGCAGACCAAAGGGCAACCCTACGCAGCTTGACTGCTTCAACAAGCACGGAGGCGCAAGCTCCATCTTGCCACAAGCCCAAGAGAAGTTCGAACACTCCTGCAGGACTATGGTCATCTCCAGTCTAGCACTCTCGTGAGACTTGCTAGCTGCAAAGCATATAAGACAAACCAACACTCGTGAACCGTGAGATCAAAAGATCCACGCCTGCGGCCCGAGGTCTTCGCTGCAGCACGTGACGCCTTAGGGCTTCGTCGCGGACACGTTTCTCCGAACACATGCTTCTGGACAGACACCCTGAAGTGGAGTGTGCAGATTCGCGACCTGTCGCAAGTTCGGATCGAGACCAGCGTGATCGATACAGTCTATCGCCGCCAGTTGCTGTGCAAAAGCCGACAACACCAGTCGAATGGTAGAAGCGCAATGGTGCTTTGCAATATCTTTGACTCCCAGGACTCCAGGATACAAAATGGCGTGCACATGAGGGCAGCACGTCCCGCGATTGCTGACATGGTCGGCTGTCGCCATACCAGCAAGCGTGCCGACGACCACACGGTGTTAGCAAGCTGCTGGACCTCAAGGAACGCCAAAGATCCCAAAGTTCACCGAGTCCACCCGTGGTGTTGGAGAGTCTGAGGAGAAGGCCCGCAGCTCCAAAATCTTCACATTCAGGTGATCCACCAACCTGGCGAACTGTCACACTTGCACGAAAGCCTCCACCTTCCTGAAATGACTGTGCTGCAGCTACGGGTGCCTGCTGCACAGCCCCTCACCTGCTCCAGATGCAACACCCTTGGAGGCCACATGCAGGCGGATTCTCAAGCAGATGCACAACTCTTGCAATCCACCATGAACGTATGGCATACTCGAGTCAAGAGTAACTACTGCGCAGCTTGAAATTGAGTTTGCGGCCAAGCGCGCCAGTCGGTGCAATGCAGTGACATAGTTGACATTGTCGAACTCGTCCTACTTGCAGGGCATCACGTCTGACCCTGGACTCCTAGACTCAGAAACCAACATGGGCAATGCATTGAGATGTGTTAAGGCTCGATGCCTCGTCAGTCCTCTGCAAGTCGTTCCGCGCTGCCAGGTGCTGATGTCATTTTTTCGTCTGCGCGCTCTGCCACCCGAGCTATTTCAGCTATCAGGTTGTGCCCACGCGGATACGGCTCTGTCTCAGCGGTCTTCGCCGAGATAAGCAAGTTGCTATGACACAAATGTACACGGCGGAGGCCAAAAGAATTAGCTTGGTACACTGTCTGCCCAGTAACGAACAAGCATCCAGAAATGTAAGCTGCTTCAACACCGACCAAACGTTCACTCCAGCGGATACTGGCCTGCGTACCTGGGCACGCTGCTGTCCAACGTGAAGCTAGCGTCGAACATCGTAGCACTATAGCAGTACAAGGCTATAGCAGACGGAACCGTTCAGGCATCAATGCCCCCACCAACTGCGAATACGATCGGATGACATTTTCGAGACACCACAGAGTGCCGCCATGGCGCAATGCATGTCCTTCTCCCCGGGCAGAGCCTGCAATCACAGTGGGGGTGAAACGTCTTGGAACAGCCGCCTCCTACTTCCGACCTCCAGTGCACCATGCCATCTCCAACACTGCACCCAGTCATTGTCAGGAAAAGCATACAGCAGACGCTACACCGTCATGTACTAGATGAATCTTCCGTTAACTCCTGACGAACACCCGAAAAGCCTTGCCTGCCCGATGTGTAGCTGGCCCCAGAGCCGCCAGTCTCATCGGGCGGAAAGCCGCTCCAGGCTTCCTGGAAACGAAAACCACGGAACTAGCACCGAGCTTATGCTTCTGATTCTCGTGGTTGGTTCGTGTGCTTTGTTCCTTTGACCTTTTTCATGCTTCGTTTGTCTCATTATAAAAAGGCAAAGAAACAAATGACACACGACCCTACCTACGACTCACCAGTTCACCTAGTTATAATCACCATCCTCGCCTTCCTTCTTTTGTTCTTTCGTCAGTGCCCACCTTGGCTCGGAAGTACTACGAGGCGGTGGCGGCAACACAGCCTTCGAGGCGGAGAAGCAGCGGAAAAATCTGAAGTCGGTGACACCAAATCCAGAGCCAGGCCTGCTGGGCCTGCTGACTGGGAAGAGCAGCACTTGCCGAGCTCTCCATGCCGAGAGCGCTGGCAACGGCACCGTGTGCCCCGCGGCCATCTGCTAGGAGGTCTTGGATCCGCTCCGCCAAGATGTCTTCACAGATTTTCCTGGTCTCCACCGCGCTCTCGTGCTTCTTGAAAATCTCCTGGGCTGGCAGATGTCCGTATGATTCCGTATGTGCATGACATTTATCGCAGCTGGCTGGAAGGCATTCTTAGACTGCCGGAGATAAAGGGGAGTTCGAAGTGTTCGACCCACATCTTGGGCGCATCCAGGCGAGGTGAACATAATGCTGAACTTCTCGCACAATGACCCCTCCCCCAAAGTCCAAAATCCGGCTGCAGAATAGCATTCAGCCTATGCCTCTGGGCCCCTCTGACTGTCACACTCGACGTCGTGCTGCCAGTGACAACATCAATAGCAACAAGTCGCATTTGTCGTTGTTGGGGGATTACCGCAAGCCCACCGCATGTTCGTGATATGAATGACTGCAGCAGGGCCTGCAGCACGAGTTGAACGACAAGTCTCTCCATGTCGGCCTCTGCGATGAGCGCTATAGGATGCTATACTATAGGTAGGATTAGCATGTTGAGGGGTCAATGCTGCTTCTGAGCGTCTGCGATCGGACTGCTCGGCTCGGGTGAGAGCGAGGCTGCCGAGAGAAGGGTCGCGGCATTTAGCGCCTCTCCACTGAGCGACCCAGCTTCATGCAGGAGCACCATAAAAAGCTTGCCTCTGGCTTGTTCGGTTTTAACTCAAGGGCAACGAGACTGAACAGGGGCGGCGGGCCCTTGAAGACTTGCGCAACGGCCGCTCTGCGTTATGCGCAAGAAGTAGTATAGCCAAAGCTGTTCTCCGCGAGACAGCGAACCTGCAACTTCCACCTTGTCAAGTCTGAAACCGCAAGTGACTTCCCCTCAGTCACGGCCTGATAAGAAAGATGCATGCGCGACGCGCGTGGGCCTGGCTCAGAAGTTTGAGAGCCAATTGTTGGGCTTCGTCGGGTCGACCAGGTCGGATCAGAGCCTCAACTTCGCACGACATGCGCACATGGCCGAACCAGCTAAAGGCGGCATTTGCAGATCGCCTCCACGAGAAGTTGCCGAAGGGAAGCCGCCGATGCCTCTGCAGCCTGTGCACGGCCGATGGCCGCACTCCGGTGAAGACCCTCCACGTCACGGACGACCTGAGCGCTGAGCTCAAGCGTTCAAGTGCCAGGGCCAGGGCTTCCATGTCCGGCCTGCGCAAATCGGTGCCGCAGCGTCTCCATCTCGGCCTGCAGGTCCAATTCCATGCATGTCTGACTTCCGAGCTTCGGCACATCCGGGCTGCTTACGATTGCATATGGCATGGCGTCATTCGCTGTGCAGGGTGTAGGATGAGATTGCCGCCGAGCACAACATCATATATGATCCCGGTTCGGCCGGCCCCCCCCCCCTCCCCCCCCCAATGGTTCCTCCTCCCCCTCCCTGTGGTGTGGGGTGGTTGTGGGTTGCTTCCCCCTCCCTGCTGTGGTGGTGTCTTGTGGTTGGGGAG